ACCCAAAGTCAAAGTTGCAGTTACAAATGTGAGAGAAGAAGCCCCATCAGTCGAACAGTTAAAAGCGCAACAAATGTGGTACAATTACCATCAGTCAAATAAACAAAACAACAGAGAACGGGAATTCCGGATAAATAAAAACAATTGAGACATTCAAGTAACCCACCAGGATCGCACTGCTGGTAGAACTTTTCAACATCTGCAAGCAGAAGAACCCATAGAAAAACTCAGTAAACACACAAACATAAATTAACATGAAAAAGAAGAAGAGAACAGAGAAAAAATAATTAGCGAACCAGTAGTGAGGGCCTTAATTAATCCAGCTCTTCTTCCCTTAAAGTCGCTGAAAACCTCCTCCACTGTTCTCGGTATTGGGTGCGGTATGCTTTCCATTGTGTCTCAGAGCAGAGCACGGAACAATCTTCCAAATTTGAATTATATATAACCTAGCCAAAGAAAACCCAGTTTGAATTCACGACAACGACTACAGAATGCTGCTTCTGACCGGGAATTCTAAAGATAGTCAAACTAACCAGAGAAAGGACACGGATTCAGAAAACCCCCCCTTTGGTATGTTACGAATAGTTGCTGGCTAGGGTTTCTTCTTCTTCTTCTTCTTCCCCTTTGTTCAATCCGACACCGATTTCGGGAAAAGGAGCTTCTCTATCCAAAATTAACACACAGACAAAGACTGAATGAAAGAGGAAAGGAGCATTGGGAAGGCATAATATAGAATTTAAAAAGATGGGTTTGAGACTTGCGAAGGAAAGAAATCTGGGGTCATGGAAAAGCAGTAGAAAAATAAAAATAAAAAGGAATGTAACGCTAATCACAGCCTTTTGATAATTATACAAGTTTACGACCCAACCTGATTGCTATTTCGTAGGTGTCCTATATTGGAAAGTGGTCTGGTCAGGGGTGATTCTTATTTATTACTCCCTCCGTTTTTTATTATAAGAGATAAATAATCAAATTACGTTATTAAAAAAAGTTAAAATTAGTTGAAAACAATTAATATGTAAAAAGTATAATATTTTTTCCAATAATACCCCTATTAATAAGGGCAGAGAGTATGAGAGAATAATTAAATTATTAAAAGAAAGAGAAGTGGAAGGAAAAAAGAGTATGAGTTGGAGGCAAAATAAATAGGAGTAAAATAGGAAATCAATACAAAAAATTAGAGACAATTTTTAAGTATCTCTTATATATAAAAATATGTCATATATATCAAATGTCTCTTATAATAAGGAGCGGAAGGAGTATTATTTACTATAATTATTATTATTACGGAGTACTATTATTTTTAATGATTTTTATGAAGCGAAAAAATGTGTCCCGTGTGGGTTTGAAGTTCGGAGTTCGGACGCCTTTGCCTCCAAAAGCGGGTCACTGTGCCCCTTTTTGTGTTTGGGGTCAAAACTGTGCCCTTTTTCTTGTACGGGTTAGGAAAGAGGGGGAAAATGCAGAACCAAGCAATGTTGCTTTCGTGGGACACGTACTGCATTTATTATGGATAAATTTCCTGCTAAAATATTGTAACAATCGTTTTATTTTATATTAATTACATAATTTTTTATAAAAAAAATATGCACTTTAGTTTAAGTCATCAACACCATTAAAAAAATATTCTAAAAAATTTTAATTGAAAATTATATTAAAGTTTTTTTGACAACTATATGAAAGTAAATCTTATTTAGTGGTTTATATCTCTCATCATAGCATATTTTTAATTTATTTTGACAATTTATTTATCATTTACTAATTATTTTTTAATATTTACGAATATACATTTAATGAATTATATTTATAAAATTATAGTATATACATGAAATAAATCATTTTAAAATCTTATCGATATTAATATAATATGCTCACAATTATATTTTTACAACCTTAAAATATTACATTATAAATAAGTTTAAAGATATGGGATTAAATATTTTAGAATTGTTGGAAAATCAAAATACTCTCTCTAGTCTTATTTATTTAGCACTTGTAAAAGTAATTTCTGTGTGTGTTTTTGTTAGAATCACAGAATATTTTTTTCTTTTCTAAAGTTCCAATGCCAAAACTTGAAGTGACATTTTAAAAGGAATAGAGAAATCAAGAAAGATTAAGTTTCATAGAAGGAACTGTTTTCTAACAGAGTAGCAAACCAAGGTTGAATTCTCACTGAAAGAATACTTACATTTAGTGTCTAACAATGCTTTTCATTAAAAGGACATCTATGTGTAAAAAAAACTGAGGAAGTATATCCAAAACAAATTTTGAATATGGAGTTTGTTAGAATTTGAACTAAATTGATCGAGACTAAGGATTCAAATCACATGAATAAAAGGAACTATGTTACAAATCAGCATATCTAAATTTCATTCGAGAAATCTTATGATAAGGTTGTACAAATGTTAATTAAAACATGGTGGGAAAAAGTTGTTTTGATAAGAGGACGTAGCTGCTATCTTGGCTAAAAGTTTATCCCACTGCTAACTTAGAACATTCGTGGAAGACATTGTATCGCAGCCCCTAAATAATCACATGATATACGACCTTAAGTGTATTATGGGAATATCATTAGAAAGAGTCAGTTAGGATAAAAAAAAAAAATTGTCGGATGAGAAAATAATGTAGAGTTTTAGGGCTAACCGATTTTCCGGCCAAAAATTATTTTAAAGTTAAAAGAACTTTTTTTTTACTTTTTTTTTAAAAAAAAATTTGAAACTAATTTCTTAATATATAATCCAATCAAGTTTACGTCTGATTTTTTTTTAAAAAAAAAAATTTATCCAAACATAAATCACATTATTTTAATTGACTTTTACCCCATTATATCTTTGTAAAAATTAATTAAAATAAAAATCAATTTTAATATCCTAATTCAAGCAAGGTCTGGCCATCTTACGGAACCATTGCCGATAACACAGACCGATCTGTCTGGACACAAAACAACATGGCAGCAAAACTAGAATTGCGAGGGGGATGTCAGACACAGGGAGGGCCACATCCCTTTGATAAGCCCTTTTCAAATAACAGGGTTGGACTTATGGGTGGCTCTATTATAGGCTGAAAATTTAAGAAAGGCCCCAGAATAATTAGGTCACTATTTGGTACATAATTAGATTTAAAAAAGGGTAAGTTATGGATCTATCTATTTATCTGAGTTCAAAAAGTAAAAGTGGTCAAAGGTGTTAAGTTTTCAAAAAATAGAATGATGGCTTAGATTTTTTTTTTATTCATGAAAAACTCCATTCCGTCTCGTACTCCCAATCCTCATCATCAACGTGAACTTTAATGCAAAACAAGAATTTTATTGATATTTGACTTCGTTATTTGATAATTTGGTCTTCATGCAAGTTGAATATTGGATCAATTCCTGAGATTAGCATTCAAAATAGTCTGGATTCGTATGCAAATTGGAAAATGGGTTGATTATTCAACTTGGGTATTTGATATTTTGGACTCTCCGCATATTTTGATGGAAATTTTCTTATAACTTTGAATTATCACTTAATTATTGATGTAAATTTATGACAATATATGTCACATTGTGATTGGTGGTAACCTAATTACAAGGAGCATTTCATTGTTGGAGTTCTCAACTGCATAACGAAGTCATAATTTTAGTGATGTTTTCGTATTGCTGTTGGGCTTTCGTAGCGGATCATTCCTGTCAACTCTTCTACAAGGTTCAATTTGAAAAACAAATTGGACAATTTACTAGGTTAATTGTTTTCTCCGACTAAATATCCATAGCCCCAATGGAACATAACTTGAAAAGAAGGTTCAATATTCAACAATAATACCAATATCAATATATCAATTATGAATATAAAAGGTCACATCACTTACAAGTCATGGGTTGCTCTTAAACTTGGCCAGTTGGCCTGATCATTTTAATTTTTCCACCTTCCTCTTAAAATTCAACAGAATACATATTTCACATATTTCAAAAAAATTTAAAATAAGAAAAATACACACACGCACACATTTAATCCCTAAAATATCACTGTTATTGTAAGACTTAATTTAATTCAATAAAAGATAAAAATGAAGTTTGTCAAGTTCAGCCTCAGTGTGTGTATGTGTGGGGAACAGTATTTGCCTTTTCCCTGAGCAAAATATTCAATAGGCAACAGGCATCTCTCAACTAATAAACAAAATCGAAGTGATCTGAAGTAGCTCAAGTGTTGTCATATTCATACAGAGGTATTTGCCTCCGCATATTATAAAAAAATTATTGAGATACTGTCTAGCAGAGTCCCTGAACTGATTTGAAAGCCATAAAATAAACTATAAAAGATGTTACTACAAAGAGTCAAAAGAATAATAAGCATTTCACATAGAAGCCCGATTTCTTCTGTTACTTGTAATATATGATGCAGCTATAGTTCTCCAAAAAATGTAAGATGTAATCATTCATTATCACCACTATTATTATAAAACTATTTCTTAAAATAGACCACATAAGCCATAAGGAGAATTTTATAACTCATTGTTATAAATGAAAAAAAAAAGAATTTAATAACCCATTAGTGTATTTATGGATAAATAAATAAATAGACAGATAATCATAAGAGAAGACAGAACTCACGATGGCCTTAACAGGAGCTTTTGCAAGCAAGCCATCAGCCAATAAAGCAGAATTAAAAAGCTCCCAAGCAACATACTTGAATCGAGGGATCAGCTGCATTGATTACATATGTCAACTTTAGAGAAAAAAAATAATAATTGAAAAAAACAGCTAGAATTCCTAAATCATAAGTCGCACGCCTATTTACACACGAGTTGTCATTTTATCTGCTTCCACGTCAAGTTCAGGACAAAAATGTAGCAACTTTTAATAGCACTATACGAATTTGAAACCAATGACAGAATTACCTTGATATCTAGCTTTCAAATTCCGGAAGGCCGCTACTTCACATCTAACTGAAGGTTGAGGCCCACACTGAATCAAATGTCAATTTCAGCACAGCTTGAGTGTATGAACTTTGAAAAAAGACATGTTAACCCTATTTCACCATTACATTTCACATCAAAATGTTGCTCATACAATACAGCAACTCATTATCAAAAAATGGGACAATTATTTCTATCAACCGAGTGTAAGAATAAATAGTCCCCTAAAACAGGAGTCTAAAGAATGAACATCGAAAAAAATAATAATTATGATAGTGTAAAGAATCAATCATACAAACAAAAAATTATATCCAAATCGTATTCTCAAAATGATATGGTGCAGGGCCCAAAAAATGGTGACAGGCTTCCTCTTCCACTACACATGTTTCTGCTGAAGCTGTATCAAGGCTTCCCCTGGTATCCCCATGGATTGTTGCTTGCCCATTTCCACTGATCCCTGCAAATTTCCTCAATGCCGTATTTTGCCCTGGCAAAAGGCGCATGTTCCATAGGAAATATCATAAGATGCTAACGAAAGGTATACCACAGCCTGCTTATTAAATATTCAATGATAACGAAGCATCCTATAGATACTTAGCTTTTTGGCCCATAGAAGCCTTATTTAAAAAATACGAATAGCTTAATGATTTGAATAAACCTGACTTTTTGTCTACAAGAACTAGTATGAAATACTTACTTCCATCCTAGTTCCTTCTGAGCCTTCTCTGTAGATGCATAAACAACAGTAGCATCTCCTGGCCTCCTTGGACACATTTTTACTGGAATTTTCTGTAACACGGGGGAAAAACAAAAGAGAAAATTTTAGTATTTGCATGCGCACAAACAAGTGTGTGTGTCATCGGAGGGGGTGCTCTTTTGAGTATTAAGTAAGTTGCACAATTACCTTGCCAGAAGCTTTTTCAAATGCTGCGACCATTTCAAGCACTGATGTACCACAGCCAGTTCCCAAGTTGTAAGCAGTACAACCTAAGAACCAAGTGGCCCAAACACCAGATTTATTTTGCATACAACAATGTCAAGTAATGACTAGAAACAAGCGATGAATTAAGAAACATGTCCAAAATTCTGTTGCAGCTCAAGACAAAGAATAGGAGGATTAATCACCAATGCTTTCTGCTGCAAAAAGCTTCCGCAAGGCAGCAATATGACCATCTGCTAAGTCCATTACATGAATATAATCCCGTATCTGATTCATAAAACAGAGAAAAAATAGCATAACAATTTAGAACGGGAAAAACATATTTCTCTGCTTCCACTTGAGTTTGCATTTCCCCCCACAAAATGGGTTTAGAATTTACAACTATAGAATCATATTCATCATAAGTGTTTTTTTTTTGGGGGTTAAGATGCATCCAATACCTTAAAATATTTTCTTGGGTGCATCTAACACCATGAAGTATTTTGTGGTACATCCAATGCCCTGAAACGTCTAACAAAGTATTTTTTTAGGTGCGTCCATCATCTAGAAATATTTTTTTATGCATCAAACACCTAAAAGTATTTTTTTAGGCGCATCCAATATTCAAAAATATAGCACCAAGGCAAAAAAAAAAAAAATCAGGCGTGCTGGATACACCACAATACTTCAGGGTGCCAAATGCACCTTAACCTTTTTTTAAAAAAAAGAAAAGAAAAAGAAATTGTAATTATTTGGGTTTACAAACCGCGCTGCCATCCTCTGTGGGATAATCATATCCGTATACATTGAGCACAGGCAATCTCCCAACAGCAACTTGCTGAATGTAAGGCATTAGATTGTTTGGGATGCCCCGAGGATCTTCACCAATCCTACCACTTTCATGGGCTCCAACCGGATTGAAATACCTCAGCAAAATGATTCTCCATTCTGGCTCAGCTTGCTGCATGTCTCGAGCAATTTCTTCACTATAAAGCTATCATGAAATGGTATGTCAGAGAGCAAAGTAGGGGGGAAGCAACGCACTAAACCTATAAACAAGTCATGAAACACAGAAAGAAAGTAGATGTTCTTAAACTATAGGGATGATTACCTTAGTCCGTCCATAAGGATTCATGGCCTGTAACTTGGAATCCTCAACACAGGGTATCTCATCAGGCTGGCCATAAACAGTTGCAGATGACGAAAAAACCATCTGGTTTCACCCAAAGATATAGATTAGAAGTGTCAATTAATCGTGTGAAATGAATTGTCAACAGACGACAATATTCCACGTTATTGCTAAAGAAAATAAAAAAGAAATTCTAACATTTTAGTTAAGCAAATAAAAGATCCAAAATCAGTCAGATCATATTCAGAAATAGGAAAGGCAAGATTATATCGCAACTGTAGCGCCTTCTGCTGATTCAGTAACATGGGCCAAACAAAACAATCATGGGTGTAATCATCAGATACTCAGGGAAGCTACATTGGCGAATTACAGTTTGAATTTAGCATCACCAAGTGAATACGAGGATATACATCCCGAAAATTCATACTAGGCATCCTCCTTACTTGAGATTTCAAAGCAGGACTCAGTGGTTTAGAGACTGAAAAAAGAGCCTACCTTTTTGCAGTTATACTTTGCCATAACTTCATATAGATTTATAGTGCCGATGAGATTATTATCAAAGTATTTGCGAGGTTTGGCAACACTTTCTCCAACTGCCTTCAGGCCCGCAAAGTGGATCACGGCATCAAATCTTCTCGTGATTAAGCACAATCAAGATTTAAAAAGCAGCCTTAGCTCTTCCTGTGCTTTAGATTTAACATAGATATCCGATGAAAAAATCAATAAAATCAAAAGCAAAATTAGCTTACTTCTTTTTGTTGAAGACTCTCTCCAAATCTTCCTTATCCCTGAGATCACCCTGTGAAAGTAACAATTGCTCAGATATAATAAACTAAAATGCATTTTGAAGCGCTGAAAAAAAATCAAATTCGGATCACACGAGCCATATGATACCTGGTTGATCTCGAGATTCAGAGAAAGCTGCGGACCTACCAAATCTCGAATCCGATTCACTGCTTCCATGGAGGAATTGTTGAAATTGTCGATAATTGAAACATTGAATCCCTGTTTGAGAAGCTGAACTACTGTGTGGGATCCAATGAAACCCGCCCCGCCAGTTACGAGAATCGTTTGGCCCGAACACACCATTTCCCCGACCTTCGAATGAATCAAAGGTAAAGGCAAAAAAGCTGGAGATGCGGAGGAAAAAGCAAAGGAAGGATCATTATATATGCGTACCGGAGAGAGAGAGAGAGGCGAAATCAAAAGAAAAGCGAGGGAGATACGAATTGAGAGAGCACTCTGGGAGAGAGAGACTTGAGCAGATTAACAAGTTTTGATGGTTTAATTTTGAGTAATCAAGTGATCATTTTGGCGGGTCTTTTTTCATGAAATAACGCTTTTGCGCAAAAAAAAAAAAAAAACTATGGAAATTTCTTCTCCAGTGTTTTGCAAACAAAAATTATGGGATTTTCAACTGAATTATAATGCACCAAACAAACTCATTTTCTTCTTTTTATTTCGTTCTTCATTTCCAATTTCTGGATTCAAAATTCTACGATGCCAGATGGGCCCTTTGTTTTAATTCAATTGTTTTTCAGTGAGGGAGCCAATGGGGGACAAGTGTTTGACCCAAAAATAGCGGGGACAAGGGGCCCACAGCGACCAAAGATTTTTTTTTTAAATTATGACGTTATTATATATTTTTCACCCCTTAAAAATTTATGAAAATTTTACATTAAATAGAAAAGGTATCTAATATTTATTGTTGCTAGTAGATTCGTCAGTACAATTCGCATCTTTATAAAATTTTTAAGAAAATTTCACTAAATCAGTTTACATATTCAAGGTACCTGAATCTCTCTAATTCTGTCATTGTTAACACTTGACATCAGCGCTTCTATTAAGGATACTGCATTTGTTTCTTAGGGGGTCTTTGGATTCTCCCATAAATGTTTTTTCAAAGCATTTTTCCGCGAATCGAAATAAATTCCTCCACATATTTACTTTATATACTATAAAATTACTTTTAAAATCATGACTTTAATTTGCATCCAAACACCTCTTTAGTATAAGAACTAATTTGACATTCGATTTAGTTTTAAACATAAGACATCAATTCATTTTGTCTCTCATTTATCCATTTTTTCTCAAGTTAGTTCTTACAGTAATTACATATGTTAAAAGTTTCATAAATGGTAGTTATAACTAATATATGTAATTAGCTTTAGGAAAGACAATAACTATTTATTACAGATAACTAATTTAATTAATTTTTCTAATCTATTTAAATTAATCAACTAACTCTTATATTAAGTACAGGATTTAAATTCACATGCACATGGTCGAAGAAGTTGTGAGGTAGTAATTATTACATTATGTTGTACTTATTGAATATTTTCATATGTTGTGTGTACTCCTCTGGTCCTATTTATAAATCACTTTCAATATGTTTCATACATATCAAGAAAAACCTTAAACTTCATTAACTCTTATTTAAAATTTAACAACTTTTTAACTTTATCTCTATTTAATATACATTATATATCATGTAAACAGAATCAACACAATAATAAATGAAGGGTAAAATTGTACATCAATACAAAAAATTTCTTCCATTGCCCTATAAATAGGACAAATTTTTTTTCTCTCTCTACCTTATAAATAAATAAGATCAGAGGAGTATGTATTAGAACTGTACATATGCAAAGTTGGGGAGGGTATGACCCTTACTCAATGCCCAGCCTAAATAATCAACGGGTTATATTTTGGAGCACATTGCCCAACCCTGCCTAATGAAAACCCAAGCTATTTAGGGTAAAGCTGGGCAGGGTGGGCTTTCCTACCCACACTAAGTGACGTTGAATTGATGAGTTATTCATATTATGTGAATATTTTCACTAAATTTAATAAATAATATTTTGATTTTCAAAATGTATTTTATAATTTCACAATCTAAAATATTTCAAAAGAAAAATATAAACAATACGCTACAAATTCATATATCTATTTATCATTTCATATCTCCTTATAATTATATAATCAAACACACAACATGATAGGTTTTCAACAACATCCATAATCAAATATATTAACAATTTATATTTTGAAATATATAATTCTACCATATATGAGTATTACATGTGTGTGTATTAAATATAATTACATATAATGAATATATGTATATTATATGTATTAAATAAGTATATCCATAGGCCAAATGGACAGGCAACATATCTTACCCAATGTCTAGCCCTACCCAAAAATGTCAATTTATGATTTGGGCTACTTTTTTAGGACCAAGCTCGAGATAATTTTACTAAGCTCGCATAGGCATTACAGATTTTTAGGCCTCATGAAAACTCCTAATATATGTATTTGTCGGCCAAGTGGCCGAGTTCAAGAAATTCCAAAATGAGATTTAATCTTCAGATATACTTGAAATTTATGATTGGATGTGAATATACGCGTGTGTTGTAATAATGTCGTATCTGTATTTGACTTGCGTTGGCCAAAAAAAAGAAAGAGACTTGCATATTAATATCTGTTGAATATTTTGGTTGAGACGACTACTTGAATTTTAGATGCGTATTGTTTGCATATGACCTTCAAAAGGCCCAGAACAAGTTAAGATATCTATATCAATTTATGTCAATATGTAGTCAGTATCAATCATCTTTTCCCTGCTAAATATATCAATATATCATCAATCCAAAAATCATTATAATAAAAAGAATGAAAAATGTCAGACTAGACTTTCTAGCCAGCCAATAAAAAAAGATTATAAAGACTTTCTGAATAACATGATTTTCTGAAACCCAGATTTTTACACAGGAATTCTGGTGAACTGGGATCCCTGATATATATTCACTAATACCAGAGCATGCATCTAAGTTTAACGAGTACCAAAAAAACATTTACAGAGATACTTATAAATTGCATACCCTTTCTGATTGGTAAAAGAATTTGAACAAGTGACATATCCACTGTGAGTCAATTTCTTACCAACAAAACTGGTAATTGTTGTCAAACCACAAATTATTAAAACTAAATAAACTGATACACAAATTATTAGGCTCCTTTACATGATAGAATATGGTAAAAATACAAGATCCCAACGAGAAAATAAAAATAGGACAGAAAACAACAACAATAACATAAACAATAGAGTATATAAGAAAGAGAAGAGCTTGGAAAGACATAATTCGGATCATGATACCATGAGATAGGAGGCGAGAATGGACACAGTGGTGAGACAACCACATGCCAAGTAAGCACTAATGCCACTTGCAAACCACCTCTTGAGTAACCATATAAGCCTTGAAAATTTTCAACTTTTTAACTTAAAAATAAAATGGTAAGTGTTTATATTATGTGATGACTGGTTATTTACGATTTTTTGTGTAAAATTTGTGAGTCAAATCACTACTTATTAGAAATTGAAATTTTCAAAATGAGTAAGGCGATATACTTTGTCCCAATACTTAGCTTGCTCAATAATTAGACTTATTTCAAACTTAATTTATTAATTTCATATACATATATGAATAATCTGTGTATTGATATCACGCTACAAAATAGATATCATATTTAGAATCAGAAGAGTATATTATTAGAAAGTCAAGAAACTCGCATTTGTTGGTATTTTCAAAGAATTAACAATTGGAACTCTCAAATTTAATTTGCAATAGTAAGGCCAATATAATTGATTATCCTATCAATTGAATCCGCCTTCAGAGCTTTGCATCAACCCATGCGCAATTGCGCATTACAAACAAGCTTAACCCTCCAAATACAAACCAAAGGAAGCATACTTATCCTTGAACTAGTTACAATAGCATGTCTCACAGTCCAATACCCTGCAGATGCATCTGGGCCCCTCATCACATATAATTGAATAATAAATTTGGTTTACATTTTACCATGACAAAACAGAATAACCTTGTCCTCGTCCAAAACAAGGTGAGCACTTGAATAATCATATAATGGGCTATCTATATCAGGATAAACTCTTCATCAATAGCCGTGTTAAATGAAACTACATTCAATATGATGATCAAAGCTAGCTCTGCCGTATACAACATACCAATATGATTGAGCCATTACGATTGCAAGTTTTTCTTAAAATCAAACTTCTAGAAGTACACTCTTTATGCTCTCAATTCCTATTTCCTTCCATGTGATAGTACTGAATAGTTAAACATTAATATTCTTTGCATATTATATAAAAGGGTATAATTGTTTATTTCATGGACCATTCTAGAATAATCTGTAGGAAGAACAAGTGATACAAGCTTATTGTATTCCCTTTTTATTTTTTACAGTAAAAGAACAGGTCCAAACAAGGAAAAATTACAAATAAAAACCTCATAATATGTAAAATTGTGATTTGGGACCCTGAATTTAGAAAATAGTAAATAAGGACCGGGTCCCGCTTTTGCAAATATGAAGTGTGGGTGAAATGTCTAAAATGCTCCTCAGTTAAATTGTGATTTGATCCACTAAAATTGTCATTCGCTAAAGTGAACTTGTCATTTCTCATATTCAACTTATCATTTGGTTGAAGGGCATTTCAGATATTTCACCATGATTTCATATTTACAACAGTGGGATCGGGTCCTTATTTATTATTTTTTCAATTGAGAATCCCAAATCATAATTTTATATATTAGAGGGTTTTCATTTGCATTTTCCCTCCAAACAACGTTATTCAGAGCCTTTTAATATTGTACAATTCGTGTATCAAAGCGGAAAGTCGTCATTTTGGCCCCAAAAAAAAACAAAAAGCTGAAAGTCGTCAACAATTGCGTCAAACCTTGGTATCAGTGCTTCCATCTATCACCGTTATCCCATCGTTAACCTCACCATCACTCTTCGCGTCTCCTCTTCAATCTCATTCGCCTCTTTTTCTTTCTTACCGTCAAAGAGGGGGCAGAATTTTAAGGCCTTGTTACCGATGTGCTACAAAAAGTAAAAATATATACCAAAATATTATAATTTTAAAAATATTTACTAATATATTATTATTAAAATTATTCTTGACAAGAATAATTTTCAAATTATACACAAATTATTTTTGCCAAAAACAATTTGTATGTTATCTGATAAAAAGTGAAATCGTTCTTGGCGTGAACGATTTCACTTTTTGATTTAAAATAAAAAAAAAATGTC